AATAATTTATCAAAGAAATAGTACTGCTTCATCATTTGCTTGCTTCTTTTACTCAAATATCTAAAATAATAAAGTATCTATAGCAAAAATTAAGGGTCAAGGTATTAATAACCAAGACAAGACAGACAGAGCCTACCCTCCCTGTTCCCAGTCCAAGGACAGACATGTAAAGAAATGACATGATACACTACAACTGACAAAACACACAAGACGTCTCACCTGAATCTTACCATATCCACCAGAGACAACAATAAATCATCAATCATCTCCAAAGAGGAGGTGAGAAACATCTGGAAGTACCACAAGGATGGGTCTTGACCAAATCAGAAGAGAAGCTAGAGCTTAAACTCTTAATTCAGGCTTTACTGCTACTACATTCACTTTTTAGTGGTTTACTCATAAATTAAGATTCACCAGAAGCAACTAGAATTGTAGCAAAACTGGCAACTAGTGCTGATTAGCGCTAAAAACACAGCAGATATGATACTGTATATTCAAGGACTGGTCCTTCACATCCTCCCACTCACTGCTACATGTGAGGCTCTGGACTGTAGTGACTATGCCGACCATATTTGAGAGTCTTCCTTTTTTCCCTCCAATGACCCTCTACTTTATCAAGAATGTTACCCTTCCCCAGGGACCAATCCACCCTAATAATATGTCTAAAGCATTTGAGACAAAATTCTGTCATTCTTGCTTCTGGCTCTACTTACAGTAACAGATTTGTTCAAAAGCATCAATTCTTGTCTGGTCTGCCTTAAAGTTGAGTAAACAAGTATTTCAGGTGCCTTTTTCTTCAAATCTTAGTTTCATTTATAAACAAGGTATTTTTTTAAAAGTATAGCCAGCAATTTCAGCTTGCTTGGCTCCACAACCAACACTCTTGGCACCCATCAGGAAATGAAAAGATGAAATGCATTAGGGAAATGTGGTGTCAGGAACCTTTCCAAAGTGCTAAAGAGCAAAAATATCAGTCCAGAGACCAAGTGAAACCTGATTCCGAACACAGTCTTTGTAATTAATTACTTGTTATCCATCAGAGAGCTGGACAATGACGAAGGATGGCAGAATCATCATCAATGCCTCTGAATTGTGGACTGCCAAAAGAGCACGCAAGTCTGTCCTGCAGAGGGTGAAACCAGGCTGCTCCTTGAATGCAAGGATTTTGAAGGTCCGTCACATGGCCAGGAGGGATCAGGCTTAGAAGGGTGGAGGGACAGCACAGGAGAGGACAACCCTGGATAACATGTATTGATAGAGTGACCAGGTTAATGAGGACTGGTGTGTCAAAGATAGTGAGACTGGGTCAGGATTCAATGTAAAGGGTCACTATAAGACGCAGGCGATGGCACAAACAACAATTAATTAACAACCAGATGTCTAAACCAAGGGTTCCTAACCTGTAGCCTGTGAACAAAACAAATATACACTTTTTTTACTCTTCAATAAAGTAAATGCATCATTTTATGAGCCAACTCCACTACTTGTATGATAGTCTTTATACTTTTAAATCAACCACAGTAATTTGTATAAAAGCTTTTAAAATATATCTCTAAGATAAATAAAAATATTTCCCCAATGGGAGTAAATACTTAATTGTTCAGCTACAATTCAGGTGTTATGTCTGACCACAAAAGAATCAAAAAGCAGCTTTGGTTTAGCCTGGTCTAACCAAGTGGACTTCCTAAGGAGAAGAGCAGGAAAAGGGCACCTGTGTGCATGTCTGACTCTCAGCCAAAAATAGTGTTTATGGAAAACTTCAGATGGAGCAAAGAGGCACCCGGCCAACAAAATCTACAGCTGTGAGACTTGGAACTTACAAGTGTCCAATCTCTAAAAGCAAAAGTGGAATTATGGGACAGACTTTGAAGCTTGTTTATGTGCAAATTTTTCTAACAAGTAATTTTGGACCCATCTATTCAGCCTCTCATCAACACTGAAAATTCTGTCTAACACATGAGAAAACAATGGAAAGGACTCTCACCATAGGTGTGATGTTTACATCACTTGTTCCCTTCTACAATTAGCTGTAAACAAAGAAATTCAGTGTGCTTACAGTGGAAAAGGTTAACCAGAGATCTAATACAAAGACTTATTCCTTTCCCAGTCTATAGAAGAAGACTCATTTAGCCCAGACAAGTTTGGGGGTTCACCCTAGGGCTACATCCATTGGTCTATACTAACCAGGGACAGACTGTCCAGTAAACAGAATAAAGTAAGCACAGACTTACTTGTGTTTACTTAGTAATCCACAGTGACTAATTTTCACATGGGTTTCATGACAACATCATTTGTGATGGGCCCCATACAACATGGTACCAGCTCAACCTCTGGAGGAGCTAATTAAAGGTCAGCCACATCACAGTATGAGACTGAGCCCCAAGAAAATTCTGGATTCCAAGGCTTACGTGTGCTTTTCTAGATGGAAACTCTGCTGCAAGTGGCCATACTTCACTGCTGGGGAAAAGGTCTTACCCATGTGACTCCCCTGCAAGGGAACCTGAAGGCCTGGGCCTGATGCCTCTGAGACGCTGCCCTCTGTATTTCTTCCAGGATGATTTTAATCTGTGTGCTCTCTCTGTACTAAAGCCATAACTGTGTCTGATACTTTTCTGCATTCAAGAAATCATTCTGGCGAATTATTAAACCTGCTGCTCATCTTAGAACACCCAAACTTGCAGCTGCTGTCGGAAGAGACTGCAGACTTGGAGATTCTCAGAATTCTGCACTAAAGCCTGAGGAGCAGCACAGCTCTTTCTCAGATGAACAGGTCTGACTATTCAGTGCTTTGAATTTGCCTCACGTCCCACCCATCTCAAGGCTAGAGTGGTGAATATGCACCAAGACACACTCATAGCTTGGGCAAGAAAAGCAATATGTGGCCTTGGAGTACAGTCCTGGGAAGAATTTTGCATCTTCTGAAGAAATCAAGTAAGCTATGAAAGAAAGATCAGTAGAGATCTGAACACAGGAGAGCAGGACTGACATGTTCAACAGAAGGAGTACTAAGATCATAGGAAGGATGCTCTACTCCAAAAAGCTTTGATTTTTCAAACATATGGGGGGGATATTTATGGATTATATGGCAGATTAATTCAACCAGAAAGAAAAAGAAATGTTTCCAGGCACGCAAAATTAATCTCAGAAAGAATAATGTACCTGGTCTTGGTATCTTACTTAATTTTGAATTTTAAAAATTATCAATAAATATGTGTCTAGTGCTTTGTGACAAAGGTAACATAATGAGTCATTTCCAAATACCATACTGAGAAAGTCCTAAAAGCAGCAACACAAATGCCGTGCAGACAGAGGAGAGGGCCTAGGAGTTGCCAGGGGGGGAATGCCCTGGCCCATTTGTTCCAGAATCAGTGTGACTACAGTTCACTGGCTTTAACAGAAAAGGACGGTACTACTTGGCTTTCATCAGACTACTGTGATGGGAGCCGAGCGCTTCACTCCAGAGAAGGCCCTGTACGTTCAGTGTCAACTTGCAATGATACTCACTAAGGCCAAGACAGACATCTAGACAGTGACACACTGCTTCACCCAAGACGCATTCTTCCGCTGCTCAGGATGGATCATTCTGTCATGTCATTTGTACCTTGACACTGGGTCAAGGATGAAAAGGGGCTTTCTGAGTTTAGTAAAATCCTTCGTTGTCATACTTGCCTTAATGTCCATGCAAGACATATGGCTATGTTCCACTACTTTGCTCTGGTTCTTCACTTCTTAATCAGTTGGCTGAGAATTCATCTAAAATATAACCTTCACCAGTCTGTGCAAGAAGTAAGCATCACATCACGAATCCCTCCCCTTATGCATTTACCTTTCTTGATTTTGAAGGTCAAAGTTTTCAGTCTTATGTCTCAACTTGTATTGAAATGTTTGGCACTGATGAAACAAAGAAGGAATTAATATATTTTTAAACAAGTGAGGGAATCTGCAAAGACGGATTTCATGTTCTAAGTAGCATTATATTGGTCTACATTAATAATTTTCCCAGCAGGCCTTCCAAGATTTTCCTTAGAACAAGCAGAGTCTTTGTTTCTCAGATCCTCTTACATGTGACATTTGATCAAAGTTTAAATCAGCAGCTAACGAAGGAGGAGGGAAGTACTGCTCAGTAAGGCATTATACAAAGCCATCCACTGCTCACTTCCAGGTTGCCTCCCATAGGATCACAAGCATTTTCCTGCTAAATGCCAGCTGGCCACTGAGCTAAGTTTTCTGTAACCAAGACAATTTTTATCCTCTTCGTCCTACTTCCCTCCAGGGAAGCATTCCCTAGTAACTGCCAAAAGCCAAGAAACATCCTGAGTTATCTTAGACAGGTCTATCTTGAAAAGAGAAGTACAAGCCATCAAATCACTAAGCTTATTCCTATACTTGAGGGTCTCTGTATAGTGTCTTTAAAAAAAAAAGTCTCCCTATTTGCAAAACAACAACAATGAAAGTAAAAGTAAAGATGCAATTTTTCAAGTAACTAAATATTACTAGTTCTGGAATTAATGCTAACCATGCTCACAAGATGAGAATGAAAAACATACCAGAAAAATTAACTCATTAATTCACGCTTCAAAGTCTTCATTCAAATAAATACTCCCCAAAGAAATGATGGGGAGAGGGTAGGAGAGATTAGTAGGAATATCTCACACTTCAACACGCTATATAAGGAAAGATGGCTGAAAGGAAATCTTGTAGGGAATTTTATCCCTTTGAACTTTCAAATAAACTCTTAAGGAAGATTATGCAAACTTACTAAAGACCGGTCCTGATTAGAGGGAAAAATGCACCCCTTCACTCCAGTCAGCTCTGGAGGCTTTCTCTAGAGTTGTTAAGGTTTGTGTTGGGTAAAGAAAGACCTCCTAACAAACCAGCATTCTTTTCCACATGATCAGAGCTAATTGGCCCCCCTGCAGACCAAGTGACCAATCACATCAGCTTCAGCAGAAACCAGCCCCCACTACATTATAAACAAGAGGAATGTGAACTGTAAACCCAGTCCAAGAAGAGAACCTACAAACTAGGTTTGTAGATTAGAACTACCTGGTCAGAAAGACAGATTGCTCCAGTTTCCTCAAGACTTGCCTTTGCATAGAGGCTCACTCAACAAAAGATCTGGTAAGTACATGAAAGAATTCTTATTTCTCACCTTAAAAGGAACAAGGAAAGAAATGGACTAGCAAGTAAAAATAGAGCTAGTTATTTCCAATAGGCTTTAAAAAGTATCTGTAAGTATATTATTCATTTTCTTAAATTTGAGAAATGCAGTAAGAATAGCCCTTCAGAAAAAAGATTACTAGAAATTGTCTTCTGGACTATTTGATTAAATGTATAGTAATCTTTCATTATGTAGCAGTAAGTAGAAGAGAAAAAAGGACCCTAGAAAACTTTAGAGGCCTTAAAAAACAAAGGCAGCTTTGAAAATACAAAAGAAACTGCAAATGAGTGTATAGAAACAAATTTCAAAAGAATAAGGTATTTTGCTTTTTTTAATCAATGAATGCATAAGTTTTAACTTTTAATTTCTTTTAAGAAAGGTATTATTACTGATATTAGTAGCTGCTTCTACAAATAAAAAGTTAAACTGTAAAAAACTGCACTTACATAATAGAGAAAATTCAGACTGCTCTAATTATGTAGGGCATCAGAGAGGATTTACAAACTTTCAAAATAGGTTTTAAGTATTAAAACCAGCTATGGATAAATGCATGTTAATACTGTATTTACATAGTATTTGTACTGATAGCCTATATTTTAACTAATTAGCAGATACTGTATTGTTACGTTATAACACATCAAAAAAACAATTTTAAATGTTACCTTCTAAAGAATCCATTTCTCTGATGTCCAATCAAACAGTTAAACTACCCCTTTTATCAAACACTTTTTTCTTCACCAAAAGGCTTGTAAGTGGGCAAATATTTTAAAGCTCAAATACATAGATACAAGAAACTGAGCCAAGTTTCTATTCTATTTTCCATTAGGATCAGCTAATAAAAATTCTATCAGTATAAACTAGGCAAATGATACAATCAAAAAGCCCCATGCCTATGGAAGATGATAGTTACCTAAAAATAGAGTAATACATAAACCATGTCTGTCCATGATACCCTTTTAAACTTAATGAGAATGTATCTACAGCTATCAAGTAAGCAATCATATACATTTTAAAACCCCTTCCAGATATATGTTAATAAATAAAAAGGGAAGGGGCAATCACAGGAACACCATATCATTGGAGGAAACTGGATGTAAGTCTGCAAATTTGTGGAACTGCAGATCACCAATATTTAGTTCCTTTTTTTTTACAAAAATAAAAACAAAATGTAAGGAAGCTTGGCCAAGGAGTACTGGGTTATTAACCTAAACTGACACAGCTACAAAACCACAGAACCAGACCTGGATGACTGAATTCCCCATCTAGTGTTCTTTATTAAAACCACACAGACGACATGAGTCCAAAGAATGGAGTTATTCAGGATAATCCCTTAAGTGGGGATCAAAATCTTACTTCCCTCAATTACTTCCCAACACAATCTACACAAGAGCAAGCTAAGTCTTATATATTAAAAAAAAAAAGATACTGCTTCATTGTTTTGATATTAGCTTTTCATCTTCCCTGTTTACAGGTTTTTCTTTTTAATTTACTTTCAAGTAAGTGTGCAAGTGTAAAGAGCCTAGCATAAGAGTGCTATGAAAGCTTTAGTTAAAAAGTAACACGTCTGAAGAAATTCAAATGTGAAGAATTAATTTTATTAGCTATACAGGATAGAGCAGAATTTAAGGCTGTTGTTATACACAGGGTCACTATGAGTCACAGGCAACTCAATGGCACATAACAACAGGATACACAGAAAAGCTTTCTCTCCAGGTGATGAATTTTAGACATTTTGACAAAGTAGATTAAAAACTAAAACAAATCATGTAGCTCCCCACCACATCCCACTGTGAAATAGCAAGGACTGACTGAAACAGTGGTGTCCGGAGCACAGGTATGTCCAAGATGTGCATTTTCACACAGCCAGGAAGGGTAAGGCACGTGTTCACACATCTTTGGGAAAGAGAGTCAGTTCTCTCTTCATGAGTACATCTTCTTCCTCCCTCTTCAAGTGTGAATGACATTTATATAATAACAATATTGTATTTTTTTCAAATGGCAAAATACAAAGTTGGCAATACTGTGTTAGAACACCCCACTCTACATTTTATTCTTTTCTACTGACCCACAGACTCCAAAATACTAAACCATGTAATAATGCTGTGGTATTTCTACCAAATCTTGGAAAGTCTTCCTTAACTGAAAATATACTTCTAGCTAAAAATCATAGCTCTGAATCTAATAAGCATAAAGAAAGACCAAATATCCTGTACTGGCTCTTAAACAAAACTGGTCAAATGGAACTGCTTTTCACAAAGGCTAACAAAGGATCAAAAGGCATTTTTAAGGCAATACAAGACGTCTCTGAACTTAGAATGTATGGGATTCATGTTGTTGTTGCTGTTGATTGCCGCTGAGTCAAGCACGACTCATAGCAACCTTGTGAACAAAAGGTCTGAAGCTTTTCTATAACTATTGTCATTTATCAAAGTTCACACAGCTTCCAGAGGCATGTTGTTTAGGAAGCAGATGTCACTCCTGCATACACACCAATTATTACCATTGAGGTATCAGTTTCATCATGCGTAAAATGGGAATAAAAATTATACTTACCACTGTGAAAGTTAAAGAAGTATTATTATAACAATAAAATAACACTTCCAGAGCACTAGCTCTATGCCAAGCCTATGAGTTTCAGGGAGTTAATTCACTGAAGTGCTTACCATGATTCCTGACAGACAATAAACAGCCAATGACGGTAACAGTATTCACTGTTACTGTCGTAAGACTTGTGCTGCCAAGTCTAGGACAGATAATTAAGTCCATAGTAGGGGATCAAGGAGAGAATCTACTAAAACTTTTGGCTGTCAAAAGATCTTCTTGTGGATGTATTACCAATCATCTTGGAAAAGATTTTTATTTCACCAAAACTCTGGAGAGACAACTTCTCGTGGTTTGAAAACATAAACTGGCTTTAGAGCTCATCAATCTGGGTAACAATCCAAATTCTGCTTCTGTTCTGAACAAGTTTCTAACTCTATCTCTCTGAGAAACTTCATCTGAAAAACAGGAATAATGTCTAATTCCTAAGGATTAGAAACTGTGCTCAGAAAGAGTAACATAGTACTTGGGAGACAACATCTTTATTATTTCTGACAGACGGACAGCAGGTCTCCTAAACGATTTCAATAATCTCAAGAATTCAGGGTCATTCTGTATTTTGTAAAAACAAACAAATAACAACAGATACTCAACAAAATCATGACTGTGATAACTCATGATTAAGTATAAAGCATTAATGAAATAAAGTTATTAAATTCTGTAATATAAAACTGAAATGGTTACGTTAAAAAGTCAAGGAATTGGCCAGTGAACCTAAAAGAATTTTAAGTCTTCCTAATATCTCATCAATGACCAAAAACAGAATACAGAGAATGTCTCAAAGACTACTTCTAAATATTAAAACAGCCTTTGGACAAAAGGGAAAGTCTTAGGGAAAGTCTTAAATAACCCATTGGCTAACGTCTAACTCCAACAGCAAAGAAGGTGGCCCCAACGCCTACACACAGGAGGACCAGCAAACTCCAGGGCAACAGCCCAGCTCCACCTCATCAGCATCCTTCAAAGATGAAGAGGGAATATACAGCATCTTCATGGACATGTAACTGCGAAGGAAGCAGCAAGGAAAAGATTCAAATATAAACTATGATGGGATTACAGCAAAGAGAACAGCAAACCTCTATTTCCCATGTTCTGTTCGTTAAAGTTTCTGCAGAGGAAACGTCTGTCATTCTTTCCATTATTCATTTGGGTAATATATCACTCAAATTTAGCTCTGTGAGATGAGGTCACACAACTCCATGACAGGGCGATCAATAATCAATAGAATTCAAAATAAGTAATGTGACTGACCACTGATGTTGAGATATAACTGCTGTTTCTATATTGATCTAAAGAGCTAGCAGTGAAATTTGTGCTTTATGTAACATAATGTTAATATGCTGCAGTAATTTAAATATGGACTATTACTATTATTATTATTGTTGTTGTTACCTGCTGTCAAGTCATTTGCAACTCAGTAACCCTATGTACAACAACTCTGAATCTTGCTCTATTCTGAGCCAATTTCATTGTCTTCGACACACCTACCCCCTCACTACCCCCGTTACTGTATCAATCCATCTCATCCAGGGTCTTTCTCTCTTGTGTTCTCCCTCCACCTTTCCAAACATGATGGACCTCCCCAAGGACTGGTCCCTCCTGGCACATGCCCAAAGTATGTCAGACAAAGCTTCAAAATTCTTGCCTCTAAGGAGCAGACTGATTTCACCCTCTCCCAACATGGATTTATTTGTTCTCTTAGCAGTCCATGGTATATTCAGCACTCTTCTCCAGAACCACAACTCAAAGGCATCAATTCTTCTATCATCCTTAGTCACTGTCTAGCTTTCTGACACAAAGCAAGTAATTATGAAGACCATGGCCTGAATCAAAAGCACCTTAGTCTCTAGACTGACATCACTGATTTTCAGTACTCTGGAGAGGTCCCTGACAGCAGATTTGCCCAATGAAATTAGTCTTTTGATTTCCTGGCTGCTGGTACCAAGTGTTAATTGTGAAGCCAAGTAAGCTGAAGCTGTTAACAATCTCAATCACTTCACCATCTATATGATGCTGCCAATTTGCCCAATGGTAAGAGTCTTTGTTTTCCTGATGTTGAACTTCAATCCGTATTAAAGGCTGTAGTCCTTGACCTTCTGCAGCAAATGTCTCAGGTCCTCCTCCGTTTATACAAGCAAGGTTGTGTCATCAGCATAACGCATGTTGATGAGTCTTCCGCCAATCCGGATATTACATTCCTGGAGCCCAGCCTCTCAGATGATCTGTTCCGCATATAGATTAGAAAGGTATGGATATAGGATGCATCCCTGGCGTACATCTTTCTTACTGGAGGCCTATTATTTACTGTAATCTATGGTATCTAAAGAGAACTCCAGTGGTTTAGTGGTAAGGAGATGCACTGGCATCCCAAAGGAACATGGTTCAAAATCCACCAACCAGCTGCTCTACAGGAGAAAGTTGGGCAATTTCCTCCAGTGCTATTTACAACCTTTGAAAATCCACTGAGATCAGCTTAAGTGGGTTTTAACTTGGCAGTACGTAAGACCCAGAAGGTATCTAAAATCTGTGCATGTCAGAACAATGGCCGCCAAAGTCTGTACAATGCTGCTTTACAAAGGTTAATAAATAATGCCTTTTATACTAAACATGTACTAATTATACTTTCATATAATTGTGGCTGTTGTTGTTGTTGTGTACCACAGAGTCAGAACCAACCCATAGCTGACCCTCCGGTGGAGGTTTCAGAGGCAATTATTTCATGGGAGGAGATTGCCTATCTGTCTCCCTAGAAGCAGCTGGTGGCTTCAAACAACGTGCTTTTGGGATTGAAGTGCAGCTTCTTGCCATTAGGCCACCAGGGCTCCCTACTCTTTAATATTAAGAGGTGGTTTTTTAAAAAACAAACAAACAAACAAACAAACAAAAAAACCACTTTGCATTTTAAAGAAAGAAAACCACAACCAAACACTTTTATCATAACCAGATTAAAAGGAAAGTGCCTAGTAGATTTCTATTCACCACAAAGACATATAATCTGAAGAAAACTATGTCTAGCCAAAAACTAATTAATCCTCTTTTTAAAACTGCCGTTTGATGACTTCGTAATTATTTCAGGTCATTAAACTGTAAGTTTTTTCCTTCTGCTTTACTTACTTTCAAAGTTAAAATTATGTAGAAATGTCTACCTAAAATTTCTTATTTTGCCATTATTTTGAATTAAGTAATTCTCTCTATAACCAAATCAGAACCTAGAATATTCAACAAGGCAGCAATATCTATCAGCCAGAAAAGGGAAGATTCTGTACAAATGGTCCCAAGTGAAAAAAAAAAAACCCCAAACTGAAACCATAAAACTTTTTGGTATACTCTCAACACATTAATAAAAAAGTGTACCTTAAAACCACAGATCTCTAAAAGCTTAAGACAAATCAAAGTCTGGTCCTAATAATGCCAGGTATGGTTTTAAAGAATTTGCAGATGGTTTTACACAAAGCTTCCAAATGATTTCTACTTACTATTAAGAAGAATCCTTATATACTTAATGTTCTCCTTTTTAGTCACAAATTATCCAGGTAGTCTGCTTCTTTACATGAAGTATCTGGTCAAATAAGGTGATTGCTGGGACTTGTGCAAGGAAGACACAGTGGCATCAAAAGGGCATGAACCTTACCACCAGTCTCAAGAATGTTATGTTTGGAAAATGTTAGAATGACACACTGTATTTTAACAATCATTCAAGGAAACAGTAAGACAGATTCCCTTAGGCAGAGAGGATGAGTTATCAAATTAATGGCATGATCAACAAATAATCCTCTTGTGTACAAAGAAAGAGAGCAAGCTGTCAGACTGGGCAAGTCTTGCCAAGTTACAGTCAGAGACGTATTCCAATTAAATAAATCAGGACAGGAATGAGGTCTCAGAATGTAGCAGCAGTAACTGTGAAACTATTAAGGGCTGACTAATTTACTCTCAATTGCAGAGCATTCCAGTCTAAGATGGATGGCAGTAATTGCAAAGTTATTGCTCCTCTCCTAACTCAGAGATACAGGAGAATGGTCACCAAGGATGGCCACAGCACCCTTCAAATGGATGGTGCTCAAAGAAGCCTGGCCTATCTTCGAGACGCCTGGGGAATTCTCATGGACATGCGCTGGCGGTGGATGATGCTGGTCTTTTCTGCTTCTTTTGTTGTCCACTGGCTTGTCTTTGCAGTGCTCTGGTATGTTCTAGCGGAGATGAATGGTGATCTGGAACTAGACCATGATGCCCCACCTGATAATCACACCATCTGTGTCAAGTACATCACCAGTTTCACTGCGGCTTTCTCCTTCTCCTTGGAAACACAACTCACAATTGGTTATGGTACCATGTTCCCCAGTGGTGACTGTCCAAGTGCAATCGCCTTACTTGCCATACAAATGCTCCTAGGCCTCATGCTAGAGGCATTTATCACAGGTAAATGTCTTTGTTCTTTAAAACAAAATGAACGACAAAAAAATCCCCACCAATGTTTGGGAAAGGGCATAGTCAATTGGAAGCAATTCTGTTACAGAATAATTTGCTTTTATTAGGGGTAATTCCTGAGACATAACAAGGCCAAAGAGTAGAAGCAATTATAATGAACAAACTATACTTAAGTTTTACCCACTAGAACTCAAAGACAAAAGGGACACTTATGATACTTACAGTTAACATCTCATGCCAAAAAAATAGTAAGAGGTCTAAAAGGAGTTTCTCAGAGAAGTACTTTGTTAAATAAGTGAATAAATACATTTAATGCCTATTTTGACAGTCATTTTACCAAACAAGGACCCCTCCCCCCTTTCACTGGCTAGCACTTTCTCCTCTGGGTTTACTCCTTCAACATTTGCTCAGGACCCCTGAGCCCAGGGAATCACAGTCAGCAGCATATACTGCAGAACAAAATTATTTGTAACAAGGAAAAATAATGGGCATTGAGCACGGTGGGGACTGAGAATGATGCAGGAGGTAGGGCAAGGTTTAGATCGGCTGTTCCCAGCTGTCACGATTACAAGATTTTGCTGGTATCACCTCCTTCCACTAACAAAGTAGATATGATGTCATTTTTCTTAACTGACACAATAAAAACAACACAGAAAGAAAGTCAAGTTTTGGCGCACTCTGATAATAATCTGAGAAGGCAAATAGGGTCCTAGGATGGGTGCTTGAGGATCAGGTTCTAGAGTGCTATTATAGGTTCTGTCATCTCTAAGAATCACTCAGAGTAAGAACCAGGTTAGTCTATGGGCAAAATTAAGTGAATCTGTAGATTTAGGTGGGAAAATGGAAATAATCTTTTTACTCACCTAAACCTGAAATTTGTCATTTTGATTATAAATATTTGCAACAAAAACAGCAGCATCAGCAGTATCCATAACTTTGCTGCAAATGAAAATTCTGCATATTTTCATATCCTACTATATAATATTTCAAAGTCACAGTATTAGACCTGCCACAGATTGTTATATAAAGTACTAGTAACTACAGAGCACTTGTATTGTTTCAAATGTTCAACTACATTTCAACATATTTGGGTTTCCTGTGAATATGATGGATTATCTTCCTAGAGCTTTAAAACATACTGAGTAGAAGTTCACTCAGTGAGAACAGGTCCCACTGGCTACAAAGACTGTTAACAGTATCTGTGGCACAAAAAGAAATGAAACTCTATTATCTATAATTTGAGGTAAGAGGAAGCCACATTTAAACAGTACAGTGAAGTCACTGCATGTAGCTAAGGAGCTTCCAAAACAAGATTAAAATACTTTGCATTGCACCGCACATTCTAGTAGCTTCCTCCTCTCCCAAAACATCCTGTTCTATCTCTACTCCTTTAACTTGAAGTCATCTGGTTATAACCAATTTATATTTCTTTTCCATTACACTTTTTTTTAGCAGATACAGAAATATAGGAAATGGCTTTTCCTTTGACTGTAAGAAACTAGAGGATAGTTTTACATTTCCATGTAACAAGAAAAATTCTCCTTATCCACTCTGAAATCATGCTTTTACCATAAGAATGTATGTATACTTGGAAAATTTCCGGTATATGACAACCTCAATTAATAAAATATGTGCTCAATTTCTGACTCATATGTAAGTCATGATAAGAAATGTTTAACTATTTGAGATACCCTTTCTTATTCAGGAAAGGTACTGATATTTATAGTCAACGTTCTAAAAAAATTCAATGGTTTCTAATTTAGGTGCCTTTGTGGCGAAGATTGCCCGGCCAAAAAATCGAGCTTTCTCAATTCGCTTTACTGACTTAGCTGTAGTAACTTACATAGATGGCAAACCCAACCTTATTTTCCAAGTGGCCAATATTCGACCTAGCCCGCTTACCAGCGTTCGGGTCTCAGCTGTCCTCTATCAGGAACGAGACAATGGCGAACTCTCCCAGACCAGTGTGGACTTCCACCTTGATGGCATCAGCTCCGAGGAATGTCCATTCTTCCTCTTTCCACTAACCTACCATCACTCCATCACACCATCGAGTCCTCTGGCTTCTATAGTCCAGCACGAAAATCCTCCCCACTTTGAACTAGTCGTGTTCCTTTCAGCAATGCAGGAAGGAACTGGAGAAATATGCCAAAGGAGGACATCCTACCTACCCTCTGAGATCCTCCTACACCACTGCTTTGCCTCTCTGTTGGCCCGAGGTCCTAAAGGTGAATATCAAATCAAGATGGAGAATTTTGACAAGACCATCCCTCAACTTCCAACTCCTGTGGACTCTAAGAGCCCACACAGGACTGATTTGGACATCCACATCAATGGACAGAGCATTGACAATTTTCAGATCTCTGAAACAGGACTAACAGAGTAAGACTTAACCAAGGCACCCTTCTTTTTTAATGTATGAAATACACTCCATTAGTTATACAACTACCATCCTTCCATCATATCTCATGCTATCTCTCCCTCCCCCTACCCCAAGCCAAGTCTGATTTCATCTCTCTCTCTCTCTGATTACATCCTGGAAATCATACCTATGCCCACAAAAGATGGCTACCCTATCCCATTATATTCATTCTGGAAAGTTAAGACTCTACTTAAACAAAGACTTTCTGTGGTTAAATTAAATTCAACAGATGGATGTGTTGCTGATTAATTTATCTAAAAATGGTACAATATAAGTTACAAGGTTAAATTAAATGAACAGAGAAGTTTAACACAGCTGAAGTCTAAGAAAATGTTGTTGTTGTTGTTGTTGTTGTTGTTATGTGCCGTAGAGTCGTTTGCGACTCATAGCGACCCTATGGAAAACGACTAGGACAGCAAATCAGCAGAGAACTGCCAGAAGTCCAGGCTGGGTTTAGAAGGGGTCGTGGTACTAGGGATATTGTAGATGATGTTAGATGGATCTTAGCTGGAAGCAGGGAATACCAGAGGAACGTTCTAACTGTGTTTCATTGATTATGCAAAGGCATTTGACTGTGTGGATCATAACAAACTGTGACTGACTCTGAGAAGAATGGGAATCCCAGAACATTTAATTATGCTAATGCAAAAGAAAAAGTATAGATTTACATCTATTTCTGTGAAGTGAGACAATGGGGTAGCCACAAATTAGTTCCCTGGGTAGAATTATAATTTCACAGTATATAGTAAGTTTCCTTTAAAAGCTTACCTTTTTCAAGGTAAAAAGATAATTTTTTAGTCATTTATACTATAAGAGTAATATAAAAGAACAAAAATCACAGGAAAAAAATGGTAAATTATATGCAACCCTATGATCCTTGAGAATCACACACATAAACACACACATGGTAAAAAGTAATGAAGACAGGTAAGTGCTGGCAGCAGCACCAGAACCTGCAAGGAAGTACTTTGTGTTTCAGAGCTAAGTACAATCAATCATTCCTTCCCTCCCCATGATCTAGTCATGGTATATAAAACACAAAAACAGCCTACATTTTTATACATAATAAAGTTATAGTTACAGATATAATTTCACTAGAAAAAAATTCTCTATTATACAAAGTAAGTAATTAAGGAACAAAGTATTTGCAAACCCAAATTCCTGTTTCTAACTTCAAACAGTTTTTTCTATAAACACAAGATGAGTGTTTATTCACCAGTGGGAGGTTGGACTGGATACTGCGATTGTTTATCTCCAAATCTAATACTTCATGAGAATGATGTTGCTCTCTGCTGCCTCACTTGTATTTTCTATATAATACAACTAATCCCATTCTCTTATTTTCCAGTTTAAGACTTTTGTGTCCTTTTCAATTAAAAAAAAAACAACACAAAACCAACAAACAACAAAAAACAAAACCACCTGTCCTCAAACCTAAACCAAGAGCCCAAACCAAGTCGCCTTATTAGGCTTCCAACAGATCCGAAGCAGCTCTTCTCTTCGGGAATCTCCACTCCTCAGGCTTAATGTGACAGGGAAAAGATTCACTATCCCTGCTGGTGATGACCCAGGCAGGAACGGGTTCTTGAAAGAAATATGAGCTGGGTAAGAGCAAGCAATTGTGAAGAATAGGGCACAGCAGCAAGTCACATTTTTCTACTCACTGACCAAAAGGAAAAGAAAATAAAAACTCTGGCATGGTCTAACATGCATAACATCAGAGGACTATCAAGAACAAGGAACATTTATGAACTTCTGTTGTTGAAAATCTTAGGCATTCCTAAGTACTACCAGACTAGTGCATTCTCTTCTGACCCAGGACTGTTGTCACACACTTGGACAACAGGAATTAATATTCCTGTAATAAACTAACAAGAATCCCCTAACTTTCGGTTCAAATCCACCAGATGCTCTGCTGGAGGAGGAGGGGGCAATCTCCTCCTGTACCTGTCAGATCTGATTTGACGGTGCATGTAAAATAATACAATAAAAATTAAAAAAATTTAAAAAAGAATCCCCTAACTTTGAGAATCAAATTCTATGTAGGATCTACACGGCACATTTCTTCCCAAGAGCTCTTCCATCACTTACATGATAGAAGGATGCGGCTTAAGGTAACATGACAAGTCAAAGTGCAGATCTAATGCCCCAGGTCCTCCATGCACTCTACCATGCTCACTACAGTGAAACCAGTGAGAGCAGAATACCACAAGAATGTGTTTTTCTGGTTCCCTCAAACTTTCCACACTGACATTCCTCTCTATTGGTAGACAATATCTGAGTTTCCCTCTTCTGACATGCTTAAACAGGACTCAGTGTCCACAGGTTTGCCTGTAGAGGCAAACAGACCTTGGACATACTGGGGTGTAATTCCAGACCAACACAATGAAGCAAATATTCCAACGGAGCATGTCCTGTGCTTTTTTGTCTTTCCCCTCCTCCTAGGTATATGGCAAAGTTAGATTTACACTGTAGCCTACTGAGTTTGCTAGAGTATGATTAGTCTGAAGTGCTATGAAATTTACCAAAATGTGGCACAGAAACATGTAAGTGAGCACATGCTGTTGGAAAAAAGGCAACAATGGATGTGCTCAACGCACACCTGCCACAGTCTCCAATTATAAAAAACCCACAAAAACAGAAATTAAACTAAGACTGCACTTAAAGAAAAATATCCATTTGAAATCTGGATTTGACTTCCCCATACATCCCCAGGCAACTCTGCTACATATTTAAAAGCCAAAGTCACTGTTATTGAGTCAGAACTAACTTACATGGGAGGACAGCCCACCTCTCTCTCACAGAGCATCTGGTGTATTTGAACCACTAGAGCACACCACCTTTCAGCTAGCAGTGCACCTCTCTGTAGCCTGCATTACTGAAGCTGTTGTATATTAGTACCATTTAACAAATGTATTATGAAGCTCTGGTGACCTAGTGATAAGGAGCTGGTGCTGCCATCCCAAGGCTGGCAATCTGAATATACCAGCTGCTCTACAACTGAAAGATCAGTATTTGTCTGCAGCATTTACTACTCTGGAAAACCCACTAGAGGGTCAGTTCTGAGTCAGTTCCAACTTGACGGTACACAACAATGAAAATTGAATAGACTGATTGAATTGAGTAGAAATTGAATAGAAAATTGAATAACTGATGCAATGCACTTTTGTTGGAAGGCAAGTGTTAGTTGTTAGATGCCACCCGGTTGGCTTCAATCATACAGCTACAAATCAAAACCTTGCCAGGCCTGTGCCATCTTCACCATCTCTGGTGTGCTTAAGCCCACAGTTGCAGTCACTGGGTTAGTTTATCTTGTTGAAGGTCTCTTTCAATGGCCTTCCATCTTCCCATGACACCCTATGGCAACGTCTGGCCCCTCCTTATAATATGCCCACAGGATAAGAGACAAGGCCTCACAAATCTTTGCTTCTATGGAGCATCCTTGGCTGCACAACCTCCATGTCAATTTGTCTGTTCTACTGGCACGCCTTGGTATATTCAACACTCTTCACCAGTATCAGCAATTCTTCATTGGTCTTCTTTATTCATTTTCCAACATTCCCATGCATAAGAAACAACTGACAATGCCATGATTTCAATCAGGCATACTTTAGTCTTTAAATGGACATTCTTTTTTTTTTGGCACATTAAAGTTGTACTTGACAGCAGATTTATCCTGGGGGGAGGCAGCTGTCACAAGTTTGCAGGAGCACTGTTCATGATTCTTTCACTTCAAAGAGTCCAAGTTTCTACATGGAGACAGAAGGTTCCTGCAAACCACCATCTTTCTCTCAGGAGAACGTAGTACAACAAGAAGACAGGGGGCAAGGTGGTGCTGCCTCTTTGGCAGTGGACACTTCTGAGCTAGGCTGCAGTAATGTAGACCACCTTGAGACGAAAATGTTTTAATAAAAGCTTTTGTACAACAAAATAGAACGACAGTCCCCAAAACCGAAAACTAGTCATTACTAAAAATGCTACAGCCTGAGGTTTCATGTGCATATAAGCACTATTTTACCATCTTTCCTTTCCAGACCTTGATGGCCATGGGTTCCTCCCATTACTTTTGCCGTGAGCTCAAATGAGGCAAGAATCTGAAAAAATTACATGATGTATGGCACCTTAGAGCTGCTTCAAGAGTTTGCCTTTCTAGTAAATTTCGTCACAGTAAAATGTGAATAGGCAGATTTCTGATTGTGTGTTAAAGAGCTTGAGTTTGTTGTTTAAAGGTCAACTGTATTTCACACCAAAATACACTGGGCTAAATGTACTGCTTTCAACTGTTGTTGAGCTGCTTGCGACTCATAGCAACCCTATGTACAAGAGCCCTAAACGCCATTCTATCCTGTGCCAATCTCGCAGTCTCAAACACACTCATTCCCACCACTCCACTCACAGGATAGATTCATCTCACGAGGGTCTTCCTCTCCTGCACCATCCCTCCACTCTCCCAAACATGATGTCCCTCTCCAAGGACTCATCCTTCCTTGCAACATGCCCAAAGTATGTCAGATGAAGCTTCAGAATCCTTTAACTCCAAGGAGTATTCTGGCTTCACCTTCTGGAGGACAAACCTGTTTGTTCTCCTAGCAGTCCATGGTATATTCAACACTCTTCTCCAGCACCACAGCTCAAAGGCATCAATTCTCTTTCTAGCATCGCTAGTCACGGTCCAACTCTCCAATGCATAGCACATAACTGCAAAGACTTTTAAAATTGACAACCGTGCTTAGAAACACACTTGCCGTCATTTGCAGCAACATGTCAATAGTTAAAATCAAGCTCTTCTTGTCACAAGGAACTCACTCCTTTCCCAAGGCAACTAACTTCCTATTCAAGCAACTCTAAGGATTAGATCTCTTCCAAGATTGTGTTAAGTATCTCCCTTTTTGAGCTCTTTTTTTGGTCAGATCATCTCTCACGTGATCATTAAGCAAATATTTGCAGACAATGACCTTATAAACCCTCCTTTTCACTCTATCCTGTCCAGTCTTATCTCCTATCCAAATAGCTCCAGTTCTTTCATG